ACAAGTTGTCTTTCACCTCCACTAATGCCTGCCCAGGAGGTGTTGAACAGCAGTGTGCTCAAAGAATGCAGCCTTTCCCTGAGCCCAAACCAGAAAACAGACACCCTAATTACAAAGTCAGGGTCAGCTGGGAGGAGGAAACCACCGATTTGCAGCAGCAGGTGACCTTTTAAGATTGCCTTCCATGAGGGAACCAGCAGTTAGCGTAATGGCTATGTCGCTGGACTCCCACGTAGTCGACCGCGGTTCACGTCCCGGACCCGGTGGCTTAAAAAACTCACGCCGGGCGCGTGTGCATGCGTGCCCATGGTCCCGAGAGGAGAATGGAGGAGAAGGGATTGCGGCGTGTCCATCCCCCCTGGGGGGTGATTTCTCGCTTTCTGTCTCTATGTCTCTCTCTGTCTGTCTGGCGAGTGCACACGCCCTATAGCGAAAAAAAATCTCTCTCTCAAAAAAAAAAAAAAAAAGATTGCCTTCCATGAGAGGGTGGGGTCTGCCCTTGAAATCATATTCCACCTACCAGAACTTAGAATACAGGAGATCTTCAAAAAGTTCATGGAGAAATGGAATTAAAGTATGAGCTTATTTTGTTCCAAACATTAAAAAAACATGCATAGTTTTTTCACAATACTTACCTTCCATGAACTTTGTGAAGACCTCTTATATTTGTATGAGCAATGATGCCTTCATCAGATGAATCCTTTAGTTTGTTTTAAAATAGCCCTGAGCACGTACCTTGGGGAGGAATACATATGCAAAGTGCTCCATTTAACTGTATACATTTAGGTTAAACCCTTCCAGATAGAAGCCATGCTTCACTGCTACCCTACAAATCTCTGTTTACTAAAAAAAACCTGTTTAATGTCTCAGAGACAGACTGAACTCAGCATCACAGAAAATTCAGCCCCTTGCATGATGGCAAAGTGTGATGCCCAGAGCAACTTCATAGTTTATTTTACATTTTAATTTTCATGAGGTCTGTAGAGGTTTGTAATTAAATAAAACTGACACTTTCTTTAAAATTTTTTATTAGTCGGAATACCTAAGAGTCCCACCGATTGAATGCAAATTAGGCTGTATCACAGGTAAGGTCCTGACCCCTAACAAGCAAAATTTAAAATACAGAAATAGTGATCAATTATTCATGGTACATGAAGAATTATATTAATATTTGGGCTCAGTTATCACTGTTTATTTCTCAATACTGAGATGTTTTGGATTGTGTGACACAGAGCTCTTATATACTAATTCACTAGCACATATACAAAGGAAAGGACCCCAGAAAGCTATGTGCAAATGAAAGTTTTGGTTATTTTTGGACAGATTTTGCTATAGAGTGCCTGAGAGACAGAGAAACAGAGAGCAAGAAGTCATCTCCCAGGGGAGATGGCCATTCTGCAATCCCTTCTTCTCCATTCTCCTCTCTGGATCTTGGGCTGGAATGCACATGCACTTGGCATGAGTTTAAGTTGCAAGGTCCAGGACTCAAACCGTGGTCGACTATGTGGGAGTCCAGTGATGTAACCATTATGCCATCTGCTGGACCCGTGAATGATAAAAATGATCATCTAATCTGTGGCACCTCTTAAGCGGATGCTAGTTTCCTCTTACAAGTATCAAAGCTAAAGAATTTCAAAGGTCAGTCTCTCTGCAATGTTCCTAGGCTGATGAGAGTTTTAACACTTTGTCCTAAGCAGCATCTGCCAGCCAGCCCTTTATTATTTAACTGCAATTACCAGAAGTGTATTATGGAAGCCTATTTCTTCTAATCTGCACTCCACAACATGGATGAGAATACAGACTTAATGGAAAGGCTCTATGCTCTTGTGGAACTGTTGAAGAAAAGGGGTTTGACAATCAATATTCTATCCCTCAAGCCAATCAGCTGAGCTATTAAACTTCAGCCCCCATTAGGAAATCATTGGTTTCTCACAGGGCATGACCCACAGAGGATTCTATAATAATTTCATCTGCCCAGGTGAAATAACACGCATGCTATTTAACTCATGCATATGGCCTGATCGGATGGCCATTGATTATGTTGCACAGGGAAGTAGAAAACTGTTTTCTGTAAATGCCTTCTAGAGTTTGGGGGCCTGGCTTCTCCCACAGTACGATTCTCCTGACTCAAAGTGACTCTCAGTCAAGTGGTGATCTCAAAAACCATCTCTGCAAGGGAGGACTCGAAAGAATTTGTCACCAGGATACCATGACACCAATCCCACATTTTGTGGTTAATAAAACAAGTCCTGCATGCAGCTTGGCAGAAGGCCCTGATCTGATTTATTTCAAGCCAAGCTATAGGGCTCACAGGAAAAGCTGCCATTCATGAATGCTTGAGAAAGACAAGATGCCAGGGTCCTTTGTGGTAAAATTTACATGGGGTAGAAACTTTTCTGACTGACCTTTGGAGCAAATCTAGACTCTTTCTAAAGAGAGTTGGTGTACTGTACTTTTTTTGAAAAATTATATTGTTTTATGTACAAAGTCTCAGTTTTGTCTGATATTTTTCTCCAATAAGGTATCCTACAGGGGTGAGTAAAGGGAGGGAAGAGATAAAAGGCTCTTATTTCGGATTTAACCATTATAGTCTGAAGCATCATCCTAGGACCCTCTCCTCAATCAACTCAAATAAGAGACACATAGAACTTCCTCAGGAAAGTCTACTACGACTTTCATTTAAGATTTCCTGCCCCAGTACATAATTAGAAATTTTCATTCTAAACTGGCACACCTATTTCCTCAGAGAGCTCAGCTCTCTTTGAATAAAAAGGTGAGATACCCTTTAGGGGACTCAGTATATATTTTTAAACTCCTTATTATATCAACCTAATTTATAGGGCATCTTCAGGAAAGCAGGTAACGAGTTGCTTTGGCGGATCCAAGTTAATTTGCAGACTCTAGACTGTCCCCCTCCTTCTCCTCCCGTGCCCTCCCTTTCAGCGAGCGTTTCCGAAAGCTTTCGGCCTTCTCCGAAGCGGCTCGGCTCTCTCCGCCCGGGCCCCGACTCGGTTCCGAACACTGCCGACTGCCCCCGAGCCCCGCGCCCAGGCCGCGCCGAGCGCAGCCGACCGAGCCCCATCGACTTTTCCGGCCTCGGCTGGGCGCTGTCCACCACTCGCAACGCCTGAAACCTCACCCAGCTCCGGTGGCTGGGACTTCCACCCAGCTCTGAGCCCGTCACTACAGATGAAAGACTTCTGAAGTTTTGCAACGTCTCAGGAGAAAAGCGTGGTGTGGCTTGAGTTTACAGACCTGCAAAGGCTCTAGGCAGATGCAACATGCACCTCGTTGCAAAGAGCAATTCCCTAGGCCCCGCCTCCCCATCCTTTTGGGTTGCACAAGCTCCAGAGAAGCCCCAGGCCAAACTCCCCGTGGCTCAGAAGGGTGCGGCGAGCCGAGGGGGCCTCTGCGAAGAAAGCCCCAGGGAGCTTTCGAACAAAAATAAGAACATGTCAAGCAGATGGGGAGAAATTGTCTCCGAGTCGCTACTCCCTACCATCATGGCGCCGCCTAGAACCCGCTTGTCATGCCTGTTACACATGCAAGATTTTTTTGCATCTCGTTCTAAAACCCCAAGCATGCTTCGTCTCCCACCCACCTTCCCACGAAAGGGGTTTTTATTTTCCATTGTTTTCCTACGGGATGCAATTACTTCGGCTATTCTGTCAAGTTGAAAAAATAATCATTTTTGTTTACTGCACAGCAACCCCTAATTAGTAGCTATGTGTGCACGAAGGTGTCACAGCAAAGCGACGTGGAATCCTTGCTAAACGGTCTTAACGAACTCCTCCGTCCCAAACTGACAGGCCAACGGAAGCAGCAGGGCCAGGAGGCCCCGAGGGCTCCCACCCCTTCCCTGTCGGCCACCCCCTCCCCAAGCAAAGCTGCTTGTGGGCTCATCAGGAACTGCTAGTGGATGGGGCAAGAAGGGAGCCTGCGAGTGGGAAGGAGGGGCGAGGCTTCTTATTGAGAAGTGTGGAAGAGAAGGAATATCCCATTTTGTTTTAATTTTCAACCATCACTCAAATCCACCCCCAGTTAATTAGGAGGGGAAACTGATACCTAAGGCAGAAGGGGGCGGTGGCAAGTGGGGCCTAAAATCCGCATTGTAGGTAGATTACGTGGAACACGGCCTATGCAGAGTGTAAATAAGTACACTGATAAAGGCCACAGAGCAACGAAACTGCCCGTGTCAGGAGAGCAAATGCTGCGACGGTGGGGGAGGAGAGGGGCCAGGGCAGCAAGGGGTGGGCATTCAGCCTCACAGCCAGCGGCCGTCTTCCACCTCTGTCTTCCTTGGATACAGCTGTGCCAGTCACATCCGCTCGCTCGGAAACCCACCCCTTCTCTCAGTTCACGCCCCCTCCCCTAACCCTCGCCCTTTTTTGGGGAGTGGGTGCATGTGCAAAAACCACAGCTTCCAATTCAGCACCAAACCCATGAACAGCAGACACTTGATCCTCCACCCCAGTTTAGCGCTGAGTCCTCTCCATGTTTTAGCCAAGTTCAAAATCACTGCCCCAGAGGAGGAGCGGGGGAAGTGGGATTATGGACGTTGAGGGGTGTGTGGGGGGAATAGAGGGAAGAAGGAAGAGAAATAGAGACAGAATGAAGCAGATACAGAGAGAGGCAGAAATGGAGGCATCAAGACTAACGAAATACTCCACAAGCAAGAGTAATGACCATATTCATGCCAATAGTGTGATGTTCCGATCAATATGGCGGACACTGTCATTCATACAACTACAGGCACTCCCCTTCCTCCCCTCCAAAAAAAAAAAACACCCACCCGGGAGTTGGGGTGGAGGACCCAGAACCAACGTAGAGAGTGGGGGAGGGGAGTCTAATCCAGGTTGTGTGTGTGTGTGTGGGAGGGGGGAAACGAATGAAAAAAAAAAAACAGGCCTGGAGAGCTATGTGGAGTGAGCAAGGTAATAAAAATTATTTCAAAGATTATTCTTCATTAAAGTACAAATCCCATTGCCACAGGGACTTACTTCATCTGCTTCACAATGGTGCTTTTTCCTGATTCTCCAGCCCCTGTTGGGACACAGACAGGGGGAAACACTGGTGAGTGTCAGTTTAGGGGTACCAGAGGAGGGGGGTGGTTGAGGCATGCGAGGAGGTGGGCGATCCTGGGCACATGGAGGTGCCAACTCGGGGACCAGGTGTCCCCGGGTGCGGGTGGGGTGGGGGAGCTGGCGGCGGGGAGTGCAGAGTGGCCGGGGAGGGGGGAATGAGGGCGGCAGCCACAGTCCTTACCCAGCAGGAGTAATTTCACGTCTTTGGCGGCGCTGATGCCATCCTCTTTGAGGTTTTTCTCAATCGCCTTGCTCCGCTCGAGGGCGGCTCTCTCCTCTGCGCTCAGAGTACATCCCATGGTGGCCCCTTCCCTGCCACAGCCCGCACGACTCGGCTGGCACGGCTCCCCTGCTCGGCGCGCCCCCCGCCCCCCCAGAGAGCAGAGCCTAGTAATTTCACGTCTTTGGCGGCGCTGATGCCATCCTCTTTGAGGTTTTTCTCAATCGCCTTGCTCCGCTCGAGGGCGGCTCTCTCCTCTGCGCTCAGAGTACATCCCATGGTGGCCCCTTCCCTGCCACAGCCCGCACGACTCGGCTGGCACGGCTCCCCTGCTCGGCGCGCCCCCCGCCCCCCCAGAGAGCAGAGCCTGGACTCGAAGGGGGAAAAATCACGATATCTTCTCCTTGGCTGGAAACGAAAATGTCGGGAAACCAGAACCCCCCAAAAAGACAGC